TGCCCTCCCCAGGGCCTTATCATCATTCCTTTACAGTTAAAAAGAAAATGTTTTTAGTATGCAAAATTTTCCATCTGCTGTGCCTTGGCAGAATGTTTGCTGAAAATATCTCCCTTCCTTTCTAATTCCCATAACTTCTGGGGGCTTCGGAGCCTCACAGCAGAGCAGCCATGGATCACAAGTGCCTGCCAAGCTGCTGGCTTTCCTTGTGCCAGGCAGGCGGATGTTGTGTGGCCAAGAGGGGGCATTTCCCTACCTCTCAACCAGGAAGGGACATCTGGGGGAGAGAGGTCTCTTCATTGCTGGGCTGATTCCACGTTGAGTCCCAGAATTCAGACAGAGAGTGGATGCCTGGGCAGCTCCTTGGTTTTACCATGGATCCTGGAGAGATGCCTTGGGTCACCAAGAGAGGTGTTGGCTGAGCAGAGCCTGGAGGCAGGGCCCCCAAGCCCAGCACCACAATAAACCAAATAGCCCCCATCCTACCTGTCCCCTGGACTATCCCAGGCCAGCTGTCACCACAGGACAGTAGCTGCCACGTGTGTCCTTTGAGACAGTTGAGGGAGACTTTCCAAAAAGGAAGGCTCTTCCTCCCCACCTCATGTACCAAAACTCAGGAGTTTCCATGGTGACAGTCAAATTGCAAATCCATCCAAGAGTGAGCTGGGGGGTGGGGGAGCTGGCCCATCCCCAGAGAAACAGGCATGGCCAGCACTCAGCTGCCTGCACAGTGCTGAGGACAGGAGCGGGGGCAGCCCTCCTGGGCATGATGGGGAAATCTCAGGGATGCCAGGACCCCAGTAAGTGGTGCAGGAGCTCAGGCCACCATGGAGGGAGAGCAGAAAGGCAGTGTCCCCCACCCTGCCTCACAGCAGACCCAGATGAATTGTGAAGATCCTGCTTCTCCTGAAGGCTATCAAGATCCGCCCCTCCCTGAGGCTTCCCATCTTCGATCTGAAAACTGAGTCGTGGGCAAAGTATAAGTGCTCCTCACCCAGCCATCCCAGACACAGCCCGTGTGAAATTAAAGGAAAGAGAACAAATAACAGCCCTCAGACACCTCTACTGTTTTGTGGAGGATGGGAGAGCAAGGGCTAAGAGATTTATGGGCCTAAAAGCTTTGTTAATAGATCTGGAAGATTTACGATGTCAGCTGCTGTGCAGGGGGAAAGGTGGCAATGGCGATCGAATGGCAAATTAGCCAAGGTTTGGGTTTTATGAGGATGTCTTGGGGACAGAGAGAAGAAAGAGCTGCTTCCTTGGCCACCAGAGGAAAATATGACTATTTGGGTAAAGGATATTTGCAGGAGCCACAGGGCCCTCTTGGCAGCCTCTCCGTGCACCTCTCTCCCCAGTCGCAGTAAGTGCCAAGGCCAGGCGCTGGCCGACACTGTGGACCTATTTTGGTTTGTTTCTGTCAAGTAGGGTTTCTGAGAGCAGATTAGAAGTGGGATTTGGGTCTGCAGCACAAAGACCACTACACCAAGGCTTGGCCCCAGCTTGAAATCCAGGCACAATGAGCCGAAGGACAGGGTGTCGGAAAGAACTGAGTCTTTCTAGGCAGCTAGCTGGTCCCTGCTCTGGGACACCATTGTGAGCTCAGTTGCTGTCTGATGCTGTTACCCCTTTTCCGTGGCTGGGCCCTTTGGGTCTGTAACTGAGACAAAGAACAAGCCAAATGGCAGTAACTTGGGAAAGTTGTCTAGGTTCTTTTGTTTTTATTTTAACCCTGTGCAACATAGGCACCCCTTGGAGACAAGGCAGTATGGCACCCTCACTCCCCCTCCAAGGCTGCTGTTTTGGACAAGATGTGCAATTCATAACAAAGGTTCTGAGCTGGGCTCCGCTGACTCAGGCCTATAATCCTAGCTACTTGGGAGGCTGAAATCAGGAGGACCAGGGTTCAAGGCCAGCCCACACAAATAGTTCCCGAGACTCCATCTCCAAAATAACCAAAGAAAAATGGACTAGAGGTGTGACTCAAGTAGTAGAGCACCTGCTTTGCAAGCTCAAAGCCCCAAATTCAAACCCCAGTCCCACAAGAAAAAAAAAAAAAGGTGTTCTCCCCATTTGCCATGGCACATGTGTCTTGCCAAGCCTACCTGTGTGACCCCATACAATAGATTACAAAATGGGAAAGAGGGTGGATGGAGAAACAGGGCAAATGAGCTTGCCAACATAAGTCCTGGGACATCCTGCCCCATCCACTCCTGCTGTACCCTTTGGTGTCTGTCTACCCATTGGTACCAAGGTTATCAGGTGTCACTCAGCACCACAGAGCTCCGGTGCCTACCCCAACCCCTAACTGCACAGATCCCACGAGTCAGCCATGGAAGAGATGGCATGTTCCAAGTCAGGAAACATGGCTAGATCGTGTGTGAACCATGTCTCTTCCAGAAAGATGGGAAAACCAACATGGAGGTCTGTCACCAGCTCTCTGCAAGGACTGTCACATCACTGAGCTCTGCGATGCCTGGCTGCTATCCCCTCCCCTGCAGTGGGAAGCCTTAGCCACAGTCCTCCCTCCTCCCTGGTGCCTTTAGCTGCCCCAAAAGGGAGACATTGGAGTCATTTGCTCTAAATGTCTAATAGGTATCCCTGCCCACCTCCTCCCACCTGCTTTGTGGACCATGGAGTTGGTGTTTAGTCAGCCAGGAAATGAGTCAAAACAACGTAAATGCTTATAACACTGACACCCGAGGAGCCTGTCTCAGTGGATCCATGCTCAGAGCCTCTTGGTCCAAGTCCTGAAAAGCAACTCCAAAGTTGGGTTTTTACTTGCATTTCTTAGGTACTACAAAGGGGCACATGGTCCACAAATGTTCCTCACCCCTCCCTCCCCCAGTTCTGTATCAAAAAAGCAAAAACAGTCTTCTTGGTGACAGCGAAGGGAAAGAACCAGACAGAAAAGGGCAGGATCCGCAAGCAGAGGGAGGAAAGGAAATTCTGAACAACTCATGTTCACCTCTCCCCATAGGTCTGTTGTTCCCAGAGAGGACGTTGCTCCCTGAGCCTCCATTGGTGGGCAGAGATGTGAGCTTGGTCCCGTAGGTGAGGGGAGCCTTTAAAGAGGGTGAAATTGGGACCTGGGTTTTCACTGGAGCATCCTGGCTGTGCAGGGAGACAGAAGTGGGGTCCAGGTGTGCCATTGTCACAAGAGTCCCAGCCAAAGGAGGTAAGACCAGTGATGATAGAGAGGCAGCAACTAATTGAAGATCCATTTAGGTGGTAAAATCCACAGGCTGTGAGGATGAAGGAGAGGCAAGCGCCACACGGTAATCAGACCTCCATTATGCACTTACTGTGTGCTGGCCTCTCAGTTAGGGAAGCCCACAGCTGACACTCCTGGGGCCGAATGGTCAACCAGCTCCAACCCGCTGGCTGCTTGCTTCTGTGACCTGTGACTCCCTTAGCTGAAAAGTAATGTAGGCTGAAGGCACAAAGACTTTCCAGAAAGTTCCAGATCCAGAGGGAAGCCCCCATTTCCTCTTCCTGTACCCATAACAGATTTCCCTAACTGCCCAGGCACTTCCTCCTGTTGAGCTTTAATGCAGTCTCAGAAAGTGCTATGTGTACTCCACACAGGGCTCGGCAGATCAAATGAAACCTATTAGCCACACTGGGCAGAGATCAGTCCTGTTTCTAATCTTATCCTCCAACTGAGTGGGGGCCTTGGGCTCAGGGATGAGGGAAGGGGTAAGATTTGCTGCCTCCCTCTGTAACTAGCATTTTGCATTTCACGGTAAAACACACACAGAGCCTCTGACCCCTGCGCCATCCGCTGAGCTAGTCACCTGTGAGAGCTGGTTACCTTTGCCACCACATCTTTCCGTGAGGACTTGTTACTATCCTTATATTGCTTAATTACATGCTATGCAAATTGACGAAGAGTCAGAAAAGAGGCCAGAGCTGTTTCATTAAAACCAAGCCTTCGTAAAGTCTCAGTAAAAGCAACTTGATTTTTAAAAAATCTATTGAATTAGGTGTGGGAAGAACAGCTATAAAAAAAAAAACCAGGAGGAAGAAATGGAAAGATATAGAAGGATTTTGCAGCCATATTGCTGTGCCAGTGGCTTTTAGCTCCTGCTCCAATTTAAAGAAACTGAAACAAGCCATAGACAACGTGGTGTGTGTATGGTTTATACACACAGGGCTGTGTGGGCCCAATCTTGAAGCCCCCAGGCCTGCCTCTAAGGTGGGCACATGGATGTACATTTCTGTGCTTAAATTGAAAATAGCATGTTTGAAGGATGGATCTATCCTATTTTTGACGCCCACCTTGAGTGCAGAAAAGAGAATGTTTACTGTAAGAGCACCATCCTCGCCTTCCCTGGGACTCAGCCCCATCAGGCTGGCCCTTATTGCATTCATGAGGCCCTACTGTGCATTACTAGGTGGGCAGGGATGAGGACCCAGGCCTGCTGGCTCCCCATTCAGCCCTTCAATGGAGAGAAAATGATTAGGAACACAGGCTTCAGAACCTGGGTTAGCATCCCGGCTTCTCCACTGACCACTGTGGGCATGGGCCTCAGTTTTCTCACCTGTGAAATGGAGGGTGACGATATTTCCTATCTCACAGGTTATTCTGAAGCATCAATAAGTTCACATATGGAAAGTGGCCTGCTGCCTAAGGGTCGGCTATGGGATAATTCTTGCTACTGCAGGGCATGGCCTTGCCAGGTGGAGGCCACCAAGCTGCTCTGTCTGTACCAAAGGTACCGTTAACTTTTGCCAGGTAAGAGCGCTTGGCAAGGTGACTTGTGAAGGTGGCTGGCTAAGAGACTCACCTTCATGCTGGGGCCGGGCACACAGAGCCCACGTCCCAGCCTCCGCACACCAGGTCTCAACTCTGACTGGCAGAAAGTAGCACCTCACACACACTAAAAGGGCTGAGTGAGGTTCTAGGCCACTTTATCATGTCAGGAGGCAGGCCTGCTCTGGTCCCCTCTGTTCGAGCAGTGGCCAGGAAAGGTAACCTCTGCTCCTGTCTGTCTTTCCAGTGGTTTCCAGTGACAGTGACAGCGACTCGGATCTCAGTTCCTCCAGCCTAGAGGACAGACTCCCACCCACTGGGGTCAGGGATACGAAAGGTGACAAACCTGGGGTGGAATCGGGTAAGTGTGAGAAGAACCTGCCTGTTTCCAAAGCCCCAGGTACGAGCAGCTTGGCTGCATCCTGGGATGGCATTTTCCCAGCCACTGACTAAAGTCTTAGCACCACTGAAGAGCAGAGCGTGAAGCCAGGCTCCTGTGCGTAAGGCGTGGGAGGAGGTGGGAAGGACAAGAGGCAGGCCTGACCAGCAAATACCCTCTGCCTGCACACCTGGGTTCCTCCCAGGTTTCCTGAGCATTCCCCAGCTAAGATTCCGCCTTGGGAGTGGTAAGAGCTGTTCAAACTCCGCAAAGTTCCCTGGGCTACTTTGATTCTGCTGTGAGACAGTAGTGGGGTCCCCCACATGCCATCACCCGCAGGCTGACCCTTCTCTTTAGCACAAGGGAAATGCTGCAGGTGGTCTCCGAAGTTCCTTCAAAGACTTTGATGTCTTTGAGCTCACTTCTGTGACCCTGTCATTTGACAGAGAGTTAACTCAGGCATGGAGGGAAAGCAGAGGAGCCTTAGAAAGCAAAAGAAAAACATTTTTCTTCTCTTTAAATGTCCTCTGGGAACAAGGATCTTTGCAAGAAGTTTTGGGGAGGCTGATTTTAGTACATAAAGAAAAAAGAGCTGCTGGGCACCAGTGACTGACACCTGTAATCCTAGCTACTTAGGAGGGAGAGATCAGGAGGATCACAATTTGAGGCCAGCCTGGGGAAATAGTTCATGAGACCCTATCTCAAAAATAGCCAACATAGAAAAGGGCTAGCAGAGTGGCTCAAGTGGTAGAGCACCTGCCTTAGCAAGCATGAAGCCCTGAGTTCAAACCCCAGTACTGCAAAAAAAAAAAAAAAAAAAAAAAGAAGAGCGAGCCTTATAATAGCTGCCTCAAACTGGAACAAAATGCTTTGGGGATGCTGCCCTGGGGCCAAGTCTGAGTAGTCCCCTACTAGCGCTGCCATGGAAGGAATCCCTGTGGGGAATGGAAGTTGAGGCTACATCAAAGATGACAAACACCTGGCACTCGTGCTACTCCTCAGTCCTATCCATGGCAAACATTACTAGTTGATCATGATCCTCTTTCCCACAGCCCTGATGTACTGATGTGGCCTCAGTACAGTTTTGCAAGTGGCTGATACAGTAAGAGATGATTCTAGAGCCCCAAAATTCTACATTAGTAAAATGTAATGGAAAATTGCCTGCCAGTCTTGGTTTCCAGGGCAGGCTTCTCCCCTCCTTCTCCTACCCTTCACCCCAAGTCTCAACTGTGACCAAGCCGAGCTGGGAGATGGAAGAAGACTGGGTGAATTATTACAGACTCCACACCTGCTCTCGGCCAGCAAGGACTAGCAACAGTGTTTGACTGAGGATTCTTTAGTGAGGAAAGACAACACATGATATCCCCTTTCTCCAACGGGGTTAACTGAAGTGTACACCCTTCCCCACTAGTAGGAAAGACTAGTGATTGTGGATCTTCATGGTGGTGACTTGTTACTCAGTGAAATGGCCAATGGCCCATTCTGTTGTCATTCTGTTGCCATGGTGTATCTCAGACCAATCAGCAGAGGGAGAGGCTGGGGTCCCACCAGAACATTCTAAAACATTCTGCCCATGTGGATGGGGCAGCCCTCAGAGTAGGGGCTGCTCAATAGATAGTCCTGTATTTAGCTGCCACGATTCCAAATGAGAAGATTTGACCAGTGCCTTGCTGGGACGAGTTCATCTCTGTCTCTGTGCCTAGCACAGAACTGTTTGAGCCACACATGTTCTCTTTCAGGTGGCAGTGTGGAGTCCCCCAGGATGGAGCTTGCTCACCCACCCAGCCAACTCTCAGGGAGCCAGAGCAGCCTGGCCAGCGAGACTGGGGTGGGTTCTGCAGACCTGCTGGGGAGCACCCTGACCCGGCCCGAGCCCAAGGGCTCTGGTGAGTGCCATGCCATACCTCCTATCTCACCAGCTCCTCCTCTTCCCCACACTCACTCCTCCAAAACTGCACAGTAATAGTGATGTTTTCAATTCTCCATGTTTACTAAGCGTGATGCCAGGCCCTAGGGAACAGAGGTCAGCACTGACCAGAGAAAGGGGCCCACCATGATAATGGCAACCATCCTATCTGTTCTCAGAAATCATGGCAATGGTGTTAGCACCATACAGTGCTTAACCTGTCAGAGGCTTTCCCATCTGCTAACAGTCATAGGAGCTCCCTGAGCAAGTGCACCAGGCGGTCCAGCCCTCACTGGGCCCCATTGTGTGCAACCTTGGCTGGGAGTGGCGGGTTCATCTTTAGCTTCCAGGAACCTGCCCCAAAGCTGAGGAAACCAACTCAGCGCTCCAAACACAGAGCCCAGCCAGAACCAGCCCAGGTCCCGGGAGGGAGACTCTAGGCCGCTAGGGTCGGGGCACTGCCAAGGTCAGCTCCCATTCTGTTGGTGGGGTAGCTGGGAGCTATTGTCCCCATTTGATAGGTTTGGGAAACAAGCCACAGGAGGTGAGGGCAAGAGCCCAGGAGTCCTACCATGTCCCTCCCCTTCTCCCCGCAGCTCCCTGGCTCCTCTCAGATGGGGCCACAGCCATGATTCAGGGACTGCCCCCTTGAGGACCTGCCTCACCTACACTTCATTCCCAAAGGTGGAGCTGTCACTGAGGAAAGACCCACCTGTGCTTACTTACTGTATATGGCCTTTTTCTTTCCTCTAAAGGCAAGAGACACACCTGGGCGAGTCCCCGCTGCTGATGTGGCCTTGGAGGGTCCCTTCAGCCCACCCTGGGTTGAGGTGTGTTTGGTGTATGAAGCCAACTTTCCAGTGGAAGATTTTGACAGAGGGAGAAAGCTGGAGTCCTCACCAGCACCCCAGTGGCCTTGATCTCTGACTTAACAAACCAGTGTTTGGGGGCTGAGTCTTCTTGCCCCCACCCAGTGCCTTTCTGTACCCCCTCGCCAGGAGTCCTCGCCCACCACTCCATCCCAGCCCCTCCACTCAGCCCTGACCTGTATTTATTGTCTCCCCCCACACTCCAGTCTCCCCCAGGTTTAAGTTTCAGGTCTTGGGCTGGACTGGAAGGGCCTTGGCCGCCTTGCCTTGTGGGCCCTTCCCATATGCACTGCACCATCAGTGGGGCCGCCCCAAGGGGCTTTCTCCATATTGGTATCAATGGTGAGAAGAACTGTAACTCAAGTATTTCCCGTCAGGGCTGAGGGTGGCCCTCCAGGGAGTGTGGAGCCCAGAGCAGGTGGGAGGAGCGACCTGTCACCTTTCCCTCTCCTTCAGTGCAGGGGCCCCAGCAGTGTCCAGGGCCAGCCTGGAGCCCTGTTTAACTTGGCCCCTTGTTAGGTTTCTTTGAATCCCACCACTGGCCTCCCAGTTGTTGCTCAGCCAGAGCCCATGGCCCCCGACATTAAGTCACTTCTCTTCAGAAGATTCCAGGTGGCATGGAAAATACTCATATGCTTCTGGAAAACCCATCCCTGAAAAGAAAAAGTGTATCTGTATGTGTGTTGATGTCCACCCCTTCCCTGCCCTGCAGCCCCACAACCCACTTCATCTTGTTCTTGAAGGACCTGTTCTCCAAGCTGGGAGCTCTCAGGCCTCCACTATTAGCCTTTTGCCCTTGTTACTCACTGTTTCCCTGTGACATGTTATGCTTCACAATTAAAACAATAAAGATTAGAATTTGCATTAAACCAGTGCCGTGATGAAAAGCCACAATCGCCTGTTTCTGAGCTGCATCAAGAGAGAGACAGATGGAGAAAACATAGTAGCACTGCCCTACTGAACCCTTCCTAAACCACAGTATAAGGAGTAAGCTAGTGCTGTGTGACTTAACAGAACTCCCACCCCTCGTGTAGAGCGGGAAAGGCCATCTGTGTAAAAAACGAATCAAAAATGCGTTAGACATATGTAAAATGCCTTTTATATTTTGTGGCGGGGCTGGGAATCAAACCCAGGGATTTGCACATGCTGAGCAAGCTGAGCTGCATGCCTAGCTCTGAAAATGTTTTTAAATGAGCAAAGATTTCTGATTATATAAAGTGGCCTGAGCACAGGCATAATTTCTTTGGTCCCCAAAACCCCACAAAAATGACATGAAGGAATGACAATAGCATAAACCACAAGGCAGAAGGGCAGGAGAGAAGATGGAGAGGGTGAGAGCTATCTGGAAAACTCAGAAAGATGGAACAACATAATGTGGTTAGGGTCTGCTTCCCCCACTCCCAAGATGCCTAGAGGGAGGAGCCAACTATGAACACGCCCACTTGCTCTGTAGACTCCCTGAATGTTCAGAACTGAGAGCGACCAAGTGTCCCTGGACCAGGAAGGGTCAAAACATAGCAGTAGTTGAAAGAACTGTTTAGAGAGGCTGGAGGGGGCGGGGTGGGCGGGAGAAGGAGTAGCTCAGAGGTAGAGCACTTGCCTAGCATGCATGAGACCCTGGGTTTGATCCCAAGTAGTGAGACCCCAGGTCCCTATCGCAGCCCACCTTGCCTAGTGACTGCCCTTCCCTGGCCCTTTCAAGAAGACAGACTTACCTCTAGCCAAAGTTGAACTAGAAAGATTCCGAATCGGGGCCCAAGTCCAGCCAAACACTGAGTTGAGGTGCCTTACTGAAATCAGGCCTGGTCCATATGGAAACCCACAGCCCCCTTTCCCTGCTAACAGCCAGCCTGTTCCGCATCCACCCTCCCCCAGCGCAGGCCACTATTGAGTTTCTCTCTGGGAAACTGACTCAAGAGAATAGAAAGATGGGTCCTGACATCAGGGATTCCCCAAACGCAGGTCTCTGCCAGGTCACCACCAGGAGACCCGTGGTCCACAAGCCCTACCCACTGTGCAGAGCTGCCTGTCAGCCTCGTGTTTCACTCAGTGTGAACAACAAGGGAACCCAGCAACTGCCAGGAAACACGGCCACCAGTACAGAGAAGGAAGGAATTAGCAAAGTCCTCGGAGATACCGCACCTACGAAGCAAAAACAAAGAATGTTATTTTTTAGAAAGGAAGTGCTAATTCTCTTGAAAGTTTAAAATATAGCAGCATCAATTAAAAATGTATGAGAAAAGATGGAAGATGAGAGAAAAGTTCCCAGAAAACAAAACACAAAAAGAGGTGTAAAGGAAGCAAAAGTCTAGAAGGTGGGACAACAAAAAAGGTGCCAAGTAGTACAGAAGGCCAACTTCCCCCAATAGGCACTCCACAGCGAGAAGCAGAGCAGAGGAGACGAGTGCTGGAAAGACGAGACTGTTCCCTGGGTGGTCTTGCATAGCAGTTAGAGCAAGAGGTTCTGGCCTTCTACCGAACCGGAGGGTGACCACAGGTAACAGTGCTATACTGTAGCTTTCAAAAGCTAGAAGAAAGCAGGTTGAATGTTTTCACCATAAAGAAATGTTTGAAGAGATCATTTACACTGTTTTAAACACTACCTTGTGTAATATTCAAATACGACACGAGACCCCCTAAGTATGTGTGATTTTTATGGTGTTTTTTTGTGTTGGTGGTACTGGGATTTGAACTCAGGGTTTCATGGTTGCTAGGCAGGTGCTCTACCACTTGAGCCACACCTCCAGCCCTGATTGCTCTGGTTATTTTGGAGATGGGGTCTTGCATTTTGCTTGGACCAGCATGGACTGCAATTTTCCTATTTTATCTGTCCTGCCATGGCTGGGATAACAGGCATGCACCACCACGCCCAGCCTTTTCCTGTTGAGGTGTGATCTCAAGAACTTTTTTGCCTGTGCTAGCCTGGAACCAAGACCCTACCAATCTCAGTCTCCCAAGTAATTAGGATTACAGGCATAAGCCATGGTGCCTGTCTTTAATTTTTGTTTTTATGTGTCAGTTTTAAAAGATTTAAATGAAAACTAACATAAGAGACTAAGGATGAAACTCAGTGGTGGAGCACCTGGCTAGCAGGAGTGAGGCCTTGAGTTCCACCCTGTACTGAAAATAAAACAGCAAACTTCCTAGGGCTGAAGCCAGTGCACTTCAATAGAGAAAGACTGTGTGGCACAGTGACCTGAAACCTCGAGCCAGTGTGGACCGAGCAGTAGTCATGGGCTTGGAAGGACCTAGAAGGTGAAGCCAGGCAAGGCCTGCAGAGTGACCTACCAAAATCCAGCTTGTCAGTCACTGGCCAGGGCAAGGTTGAGTTCACCTGTAAAGCACTTCCAGAAGATGCACACGTGGACAGCCAGACCTTGACTATTCCTGCATATGGTGGTGGCTGTCACCTTTTCTATTCATCTGAATTACCTGGGAGTTTTAAGTGTCCTTACATCAAATCCACCACCAGAGACTCTGGTTTAATCAAGTGTGGGTACAGCCTTGACTTGGGGGTGGAGAGGTTTAAGTTGCCAAGATGACTCCAGAATGTTGGAAAAATTGGGCCACTTCTCTACTCCTCTGAGTGGGCTCCATGAGATGTGCAAAGAATGTTTTATTAGGTAAAAATCAGAAATTGAAATACCACCCTCAGAGGAACAGATACCTAACTTGCAATATTTTCAAACAGTGGAACACTATGCAGTGGTGAAAATGAGTCCACATTCAAACAGATGGCTGAAAAATAAATGCATTATTACATCTTCCATATAGCGCTTTTAAAACAGGCAAAAACATGGATATTAAAATACACTGTATGCTGTGAAAGAATAAGGAAATACATTGGAAGAATGAATAGCAGGTTCAGGACACATCTTTTGAAGATGGATGCAATTGAGAGGTTTCAACCTAATTGGTAATATTTTCTTTAGTTTGGTGATGGGGAGGTGAGTTTGTAACATTTATGATGTATTATGTTCATGTATTATATAGTTATATTTTCTGTATTATCTTTATATGTGTGAAATCTTTCAAAATAAGTAACTTAAGGAATTATATCAAATCTTATCATGACATTTCAAGCCACTAGAATAAAAGAAAAAAAGTCACACATAAAAGATCAGGAATTAAAATGGTCCTGAAATTCTCAAAGCAAAATTTGAATCCAGAACACAGTGAAGCAGTATCTTCTGAATTCTAAGGGGAAATGACTTCTAGTCCAGACTTCTATCAGCCAAATGTCAGTGAAGTATGAGAGTTTTTGAAAAATTTCACCTCACTTGCACATCCTCAGGCAGCTACTGCAGGAGATGCTCCAAACAGACAAGGGAGAAAAGCATCAAAGAAGATACAGGGGACACAGGAGAGAGGCAGAGAATCCCCAGGGCAATGGTAGAGTATGTGGCTTTGCCAGATTGGAACAGGAAGACAGAGGAGATAGACAAGGATTTAGAAGTGTCTGTGTGCAATATTTTATAATCATATATAAAATTGAAAAATCAAGAAATAGGACCAGCATGAGCTGCACACACAAAGCAGCTGAAAGAGTTCTTAGGGTTGTGTAGAAAGGGGCTTGAGGTGGGGAGGGGATTGCTGCTTTATTTTATAAGCCTTGTAGGACAGGTACCCTTTTAAAACGATATACTGTATTACATTTATAACAATGAAAAGAATTTAATGAAAAAAAGGAAATGTAGAATTAAAGAAAGAATTTAATGGAAAGATACATACCGAGCTCCTCATAAACCCACAGGGAGGGGGCAAAGGCAGTGAGAGCCCCAAGTCCATCCAGGCGGGAGAGGACCAGTTTCTGCAGGGCCCCTGTGTAGACCTCCCGGATTCAAGGCACTTCTACTCACAATTTGTTTTGTAATAGTGCTTCAATTTATTTATTTTTTTCTTTTTTAGCTTCTGTTGTTTTTGCTGTTGTTTTTATGAGATGGGGTCTCACTGTGTAGCCCACGCTGGCCTCATGTCCTTGGATCCGCATCCAGTAGAAATTACACTTTGTTTTTTTGTTTGTTTTTCAGTCTTTTTTGTTGTTGCTGTTGTCTTTTTGAGACAGGGTCTCAGTGTATAGCCAGGCTGGCCTGGTGGCCTCAAAGTGACAATCCCCCTGCCTCAGCCTTCTGAGTGCTGGCATGAGGTAGATGTGCCACCACGCCCAGCTGTACTGTGAAGTTTTTATTTTGGTTCCAGGCTAGTGATGCACGATGCAGTCCTCTGGAGCAAGGTCGGGCAGCAGCAGTGAGCAGCCCCTCCATCAATCAGGAGCGGAAGAACCGCCCTGCGTAGCGTGCCGTGCTCTGCTGCTTGGTAGCTTAGGTGCATCCGACTCTTTCACCTTGGATGTCTTCCGTTTGGGATGGGTTTATGAAACCCCCATCCTAAGTCCAGGAGCTCATGTATCCACACACCTGGCCCGCAGGTGTCTGTAGCCCCCAACTGCGGCTCTTCACATGCCCTGTGCGGGACCAACGCCCTCTCAGACGCCATGCGACATGGACCTCCATGCCGGGCCCGCACCAGAACCTTAGGTCAGGGCCGGACCCAGCCCAGAGGGGGAACCCCAAATGTAGTTCCTAGAGACAGGTCTGCCACAAATTACTTCTGGGAGCCCCATGTTAAGGGTGAAGATGGAACCCAGGCCCTCCCTTAGGGATGGGGGATCTGCCTTGGGAATCAAGGGCTCTTCGTGGGCTTGCCTGAGAACCAAGAGATTATTTCTTTACAAAAATGCTTTCTGGGTCCCAAGCAACCATCTTACAAATTGACTTTTGGAACTGAACTCTTCATAGTGTGTACGGGGCTGGGGGGTGGGGAG